AAAGAGTGAAGGACAAAAACAAGGCATTTGTCTAATCCAGCCAATCACCAGCTCCAACTGCTATTAAATATACAAGTTGAGGAAAAACACATTGTCTGCAGTTTCATAACACAGATAAGTACGTCACAAAAAATGTTTAATTGGTGACTTTCACACTAAGAACAGATTTTAAAGCCTTCTGTCGGCTTTCACTTCAACATGAGGAAGGTTTAACAGGTCTTTTGAGGCTTTGCCAAGCAATTTTGTATCCTTCTTATGCAACATGTTTGTAGAAAATAAGGTGAGGGTGCTACTATATCGTATCTGGCAAGAGTTTAAACTGATGACAGTTAAGTTTTTAATAAGGTTCTCTGGGTCGCTTCTGCAAGATTGGTCTGATGCTTAAAGACAACTTTTACAGTTGTGCTCAAAGTTCACCTGCTGCTCTCTTCTCATTAAGGTTCCACTTTATTAGATGTCCGAGTCACAAACATACTGAATAATTTCAATTGTATTCAAAGAACTTTAAAGTTAAAACACCCAAGACATCTTTCATCACCTGCATTACACACAGAGCCCCAACTTTATATCCATATTCTTTGCTAATGGCTTCATGTGAGCATCTGTTGTCCCCAGTCAAACCTATTTCAAGACCCCACCTCACAAGATCCTTTCATATTAAAATGTTTTTAGCCAGTGCAAAACAACTTGGAATCCCTCTGTTGCTCATGGCAACCCACAGCACAAATATCAGGAGAAGGCACCGGCGGTGGAATGCCAGGCCATTTGTTAGTCTGCTCCCCAGCTGTGACTGATCTGTTCATTCTAGGAGACCTTTCACCCTGCTGGCAATCAAGTCCCTTCAGCGGTCAGGCTCGGCCTTCCGTGAAGGAAAGCTCAGCGGGTGGAGTAAGGTTGTTGTCAGCATCACTAGTCTGACACAAAGCCCACCTATAACGTGCACATGACCTCTGAGGTCAGAGACACACCCTGGATAAGATGAAATGCAAGGCTCAGCGAGACACCTGACTCCAGGTCAGGCCACCGTGGGCTTTTATTATTCTGCTTCACGATTGTGTCGTACTGGCTGTCCACAAAATATTGCAACTTCCTGTCAGGATTGTTTTTTTCTCTTGACTTCATATTGCATCTCAAAATAGTAAAAACACATATGGGATGGCTGGGGAGTGTTGAGAAAGCATTAAAGGGAAGGCTGGGTGTGTTGAATAAATAATTCTAGACTGTTCTCACTCCTTTGTGCAGATGTTTGGTTGTGGTGCGTGGCACAGCTCCCACTGGACGTCCTTTGAGTGCCCAACCAGGTGAGGATCTACAGCACAGCTTCCTTACAAATCTCAACGCTGTTCTGTTGGGGGCAAATTTCACTGTTGCATAAAGTTTTGGTTTTTTTTACTTTTCTTGTCACCATCCAGCCCATGTTATGTGGAATCCCATAATGCCTTGCAAAGCAACGCACTGGAGTCCCACAGAAACTGGGCAAATAACTCTGGGACATCGAGCTTTTGCATTTTCTGCTACTTCATACTTTAACTTAAATACATCTTAGACAAATATACTTTTTACTCCAAAACTTTGTTTTCAGATTCAGATGACTAAAATAACACAGTGTAATCATTAGACTACTGATCCCTGGTTGGAAATTGACAAGCTGCTTATCAGTATGTACAGTAGCTTAAGTTTTAACATTAGCTCCACCATTAAAATGATCAATTATAATATAGAATGCATTAATATCAATGTTCCATTCTGTAGACAAGAGTACGTTTGGTACATTAGATACATTTTGTTCCTAGTATGTTTGTACTTAGACATTTTGAATGCAGCACTTTTACTTGTAACAGTACTTTTACCCTGTAGAACTGTTATTTTTACTTAAGTAATCAATCTGAGTACTTCTTCCATCATTGTTTGTGTGGGACTCTTCACTCCAAACAGAGGCTAAGTAATATCTTTACGTCAGATGACATCTTGTATAGTGCTTTGCCTGAAAATCACTTTTAGAACAAAGTCTACATTTGTTCATGCATAGTGTATATAACATAAAACTAAGTATTTTGCAGTTTGAAGCTCTGTGGTCACTTCCTTGCTTTGTCTCCTCTTTGGTACTTTTCTCTTTATTGAGATTTAATAAAGTCTGTAAAGGGAAATTTGATTTTCCAAATACTTCAATTTTTATCCATACATTAGCAAAGCTAATGTCATCACTGAAGTACCTGTCATTCAAAGAGTGTTTCCACAGGCATCAGCATAAAAGAGAGTCATTATTGTTGATGGTTTGACAGACCCCAAATATCAGCAAAAGGTAAACTGGCAGTTATCTGAACTGCACTATTTACCACACTGGTGTGTTTGGCAGATGAATGACAGCTCGAGGCAGCAGGGAAAGCAGAACAGCAAGCAGTGGACAGAAGAATCTAAAGTTTAAAAGAGCCTCCCGCAGAAAGAGAGGGCATTTACCCCTAAACTCGAAAAATGGCGTGGCCCATAATTGAAAGGAAAGCGAGTGAGTCAGTCCTCCTGTCAGAAGCGGCAACACTACAAAGGGTTCTGCGGTTCACTTATGCTCACTTCAGTGCCTTTATAATGAGGCTGTCCCCCTCTAATACACATTTCAGCTGAGAAAATAAGCTCTTATAATTAGACGGGTCCTACCCTGACACAATTAAGGTGTGAATACAAGCGGGGCACCCACATGAGTGCGCCATCAGAGCATTGCCTTTCTCCTTCAAGATTAAAAAAAGCATAAGTTCCTGAATCATTTTATCCTTCCAATTTAATTTGTGTCACAAAGACCTTCCATCTTAACAGGACTTCACTAAGACCACAATTACTGAAGACACATTACGCCCAGAACTCCTGTTTCACTGGGAAAAGAGGAAGAGTGGGGCATCTGCTGTATTCTTTAGTGACAAAGCAATGTTCATGTGCTTGTTTCCTCACAGTGAAACATCTAATCTGACTGTCCAGATGTTTATAAAAAGGTCTAAATAGTTTTCTTACCTTTAGGTCAACATTCACCGTGTTCACTTGGGGGAAGAGCCTTAGAGGAAGTTCCTGCTGTTGCTTTCCTTCCAGCATCATGGAGCTTTCCTGGGTGAAGCAGCTGTATTTGGCAGGAAATTGAATCATAATGATCACATTAAATAAGCTGTTAGTGTTTAACCTGCCACATACCTCTTTAAATTAGATACGTTAAGTTGTCTGAGTGGGATACTTTAAATAAATAAACCCCGAGGATCAAAACTTGGAACCTTTGCTTCCCTTCAGTAGCCTGTACAGTAGCATATTTAGCTTAGTTACATTACTGACACTTCAAACAAAAACAGTTGTGTGCTCTGAGCAGTCAGTGAACAAATGATCTACACATGCATCATTTTGTGCAGTTTGACCAATACCGCCTGTCCCACGTTTGGTAGCTTTCTTCTAAAACAAAGGATCATTTAACTGTATCTTCTCAGAGCATTTTTAAGATTTACTGAAGCTACTACACAGAAAAGAATTAAATAAAAATAAGTGGCTGTGCTTAGTGAGGTTTATTAAAGTGATTACATTTTAAAAAGGCAAATAGCCAGAAACAAAACAAGATGCTTACATTTAATCAGAACAACAATACTTCCTAAACCTTAAAGTACTTTTGTTGCCTAAACATGACGGGTGTAGCAATTTGTGTAGAAACACTAAGCAGACTGGCAGGTACAGTTCAGTAGCTTATTACCAAAAATCAAGACCTACAGAGAGCTCAGGTGACAAAACCAAGGAGGGATAACCAGAGGCAGAGACAAAATCCCAATCATAGTTGCAGTCACACAGTCTGAACCAGCAATAAATCCAAAGGACCATGCAGGGGACAGAATCCAGAACAAAAGATTTCCCAAAAACAACACAGAGTCAAGTGTGCAGACGCTACATAAAGCTAACAGGAAAGCAAGCACATCAAGTAGCAACAAACAAAAGAGACCAACAGGCTTATGCACTGTGCTGGCTAATCAAGGTAAGAGGATACACCTGTAGTGTGTGTGGTGGTTTGGGAAGAACTAGGGAACTAGGACTGGTATCATGACAACAGACTCTGGATGTGAACCCAGGTCATGCACTTTGCTCGCCTGCCGTCGTCCTCAGCCACGCCCTAGTGATTTCTGTACAAACCTGTGCTTCTAAACATCATTTGGCCAGCAAATACATTTGCCATCACAATGTCACTGACCCAACAGTTTGGTAATATATACAAGTAATTTCTAGGAGAGAGCGAGGAACATGAATATCTGTACCGATACACCCAGTAATGGTCGAGACATTTCCCTTCACTGACTGGCAAACAGTGACATCTGCTACATTCAGCAGTGCCCTCTATGCATCTCTGGGTTTATGGTGCCACAGGTGGCTCTCACTGATAGAAATCTGATCTAAGGGCAAAAAAGGTCAGCAGTGTCTGTTCAGAATAACACTCCCACTATTACACAACAAAGTACACACAGGTACACAGTTCATATCACCGAACCAGTGTCTTCCACAGATGTCCACCAAGGCTCAGTCCCCATTATCGCAAAAATAAGAATATTCTGCAATAAAATATTTGTAATGACATTTTTTAAATCTGGAAAAGAAAATCAATCCATCAGATTTTACAAAGGCTTAAGCCTCAGAGACTTGTATTTGACATTTGGAGTCTCACTTTGGCCTGACCTTTGCAGCAGTTCACCAAACATGTCTGCTGTCAATCCAACTACTGACCTGTAAAATTATAATGTACCTTCTGGTTGCAGAAGAGAAGCAGCAACGACATTTGATGGTGCTTTTAACACTGTCACAGCAGAACAAACGTAAGGTCCAACTATCTTTTCAGTGAAAAAAGTTCCATTACAAAGATGACTTGGTCTGTTGATTTAAAAGAATCTGAATGTGCTCTTCATTGCCCATGAGCTGGAGGCGGTCTTGTACTACACACGGCAGAAATTAAAAATGTTATCTCTGACTACAAAATAAAACCAGCAACATGAACCACAAGACTAATAAGAACCTTCTTCAGTTGTTTGTTGCCTACCTGAGATCCCAGCCCGAGATAGGGTATACATGACAAATAAAAACATGTACGAACATGGGTGGCAGGTTTTCAGTGAAGCTTAAACATTTTGAATATTATAGGCCAAATCCAACCGAACCTTAAGTTAATGTTATGTCACACAGGTGTTTCAGTCCAGGCAAAGCCATATGAAACATGAAAGCTTGAGCCACAGCTCCACCGTGTGGTGAAGTAGTGAACTTCCAACTCTACTACTGAGGAGTATTATCAGGACGCCACCAATAAATAGGGTAACAAACACACACACACACACACACACACACAAAACTCTGGTAGTGTAGAACAGTTGAAGTGCCATAAAAAACTAGATTTACTGTCTGTCTTGACAAATTCAGTGCAAATGTTGAGTAAAACGCAACTAATTTTTCAGTCATGATTAATGACAAAGGAATGCACAACGCTTAAGGCAAATATCTATTCAAACATGTATCTGTCCTCCACTGCTATTTATCTTGGGACAAAATCATATTACAATCCGGGGCGACAGGTTATTCCAGCAACTGAATGCACAGGTGGATGCGTGCATAGACGGTAAATGACAGCACTGTAATTAAAAAAAAAAAGAATGGCTCATTGTTTTCATATCCTCATTCACTGTGGCTTTCAGTCCTTGGATGAACTGCCCCCTCTGTTGTCTTAAATGCAAAAGAGTTATCATGTTGCACTGAGGTCAGTGGTAAACATATTTTCATTCCAGGCGGCTATAATAAGCTCTTGGACTGGAATGCAACCACACTAAGCACCAGGGAGCTGTGTGCTGCACACGCTGTGGTGCATGTAGTGAATGGACTGATTATCACCTGCTGGGTGGTTTCCTGTCTCTCTGTCACCCTCGGATTATTTCAATTACTTAAATATGTTACATTCGTTTTAGCTCAGAGTGGCGGTAAGTCACACTCGTTGGGCAAAGTCGCACTTCTACAAGTGTCTATACTGCACATACGTCATAACCAGAAAGTGTCCAGGACTAAACACATGCATGTAACGCAATACACATTTCTGCACCGGTCTCACACCAATGATTTACAATTGTGTGACTGGCAAATTGTATAAACATGTCAGAATATTTATGATATTTTCTAATACATTTTTCAATCCACAGGCAAGTGCAAAATAATATAATCAATATGTACAACCCAGAATATTTCCAGCTTCATTAAGAATCATCAGAACATTGTTTAACATTGATATGAATAGGGTTCATTTTGAAAGCAAATATAATGACTAATTGACGTCTGTTCAGGTCGTATTTGGTGTCAACCTTGTTTTATGTTTGCTCAGATTGGTTGTTTTTACATGTACTCACATGTCGTCATGCACATTTGTGAATGACAAAAGTTTTTATTTGTGGATTATGAATCATACAGTGTCACCAGTACTGAGACCAATTTCTCTCCATAGAAATCCCTTGTCACAAAAGAGCACCAGTGCCAACATGTAATCACAGCCATCTTTTGTCAACATCGGCCTCTCATTCTCTTTCACCACTGAAACAGGTTGTTCTGCACGGCACTGCTGAACATTGCCATCTTTTCCTTCTCTGTGTACATCTCAGCGTAACATACCAAGCACTATTCTGTTATTCAGGTTTTTTTAATCTGATGAAGTTCTTGGTATAGATGAGTGTGGCTGTGCCTTGTGCCTCTTTGCCACACCCACACATGCATGCCTGCATTTCAGAATTTCAGCTGTGTTATCACAAATGTCAACTTCATTACACAGCCAAAAAAAACTGATCAAAAGGCAAAAAAAGACGAAATAAAAACAGAATGATATGCCTTAAGAAGAAGAAGACAGACAGCTACGTCTGATAAAAGATCATCTTATCTCTTTGCACTTGTGAACCAACAAACAAAATACCATTGAGTTTAAATCTTCACTGTGGTCTGAAAATGGCAATAATCACAACTAAACACAACTGAGCATGAAGTATGTTTGAAATTTGACCTATTGGAAAAAGGTATGATGACGCTTGTTGACAGTTTTTTTGTAAACCAACAACGTTCACAGTCACTGAAGTTATGAATCTTTTCTTAACTTAAACAATGAAATGTAAAAAAAAAAAAAGTATGTTAGACTCCACACCTGCAAGTTTGATGAAAAGGTTTGGGAAATCTTAAGACAAATGGTGTTATGATTAATTCACACTCATTTCTCTCAGTATATAAATGTAGTAATTAAAATCTGCTGTTGAGACATGAGGCACCGCTGATGTTACTAATGTTGTCACAAAATAAATGTGAGATTGGTTCTTATCTTGTTGCTTAAGGAATCACAAACCAGCCTGTGACATTTTGATAAATCATTTTCTACACAACAAAAAGAGAAAGTAAAGCGAATCACACCGGAGAAAAACTCATCTCAGCTTATGGCAGAGTAACTTATGTGGCAGGTGGAGTTAAGCTAATCTCAAATCATATTTTAATGTATCAAAATGTAAATGAAGTTATACTGATTTCAGTGTGAATCTTAATAATAAATGGGCAGACAGACAGTATCAAAACAGGGAATGTTTTGTGTGTGATACTACATTTTCTCCTTGCGTTTTGTAACGATTAGCATTAGCCACAGACAGAGTGCAGCACATTTTCATGGTACTATGTTGTTTTTACGGCAGTAATTTTTCAGGTAAAATATTCATCTTAAAAGGCAAAGAATGAAACCATTATGCATCTGTTACACAGTTTTCTGACCATCCTGAAAACTTAAAACCCTTTTTCCCCTCAACATTGCAGCATCTGTAGTTGCTGCTCTCTTCCTGTAGGATAGTGACGTTTGTGATTTTAACACACCTCCATGTGAACCAGTTGTTAGTGCAGCTGTCCAGGTGCATAATGATCTAACTTCTGACAACATGCAACATGAGTGACAGTTAAATGTCTAATGTGAAATAGGATATTGGAATTTCTTTTGTTATTGTTGAAGCTTGGAGTTTCAGTGCGTGGTAGCTGAAGTAGAACAACTCCACACTTGCACTAATGTAGAATCTCCCATCACATTATATGTATCTCATTGAACAGAAAGAATAAAATAG